GCAAAAACGCCCCAATCGCCCAATCGCCCAGACAAAAGGACGCCGAGAAATTGGGTCGCATCCCGCCCCAGAACCGCTCCACGGCTCTACCACCACACATCGGAGACATCACCCCACTGAATTGACAAGTCGGCGCCAGAAAAGACGAAGACCCATCGCGCCAGAAGAAGTTCAGCTCCATCGAAAACCGGTAGCAGAGCAGAAAAAAGAGGGCAGAGACCAGACGGTCTGGGGCCGACAACCGCCGGCGAAGCTTGGTGGCAACAATGGAAGGCGGACGGCTAAAAATCTGAGGAAGCTAGATGGAGGCGATTTGGGAACGAGGGTTTTCTCTGGAACGAGGGATTTTTGGGGCAGCCACGTAAAATAGACCTTCTCAAACTAATAATATATATTATGTTTTTTTATAATTATTTAATAAATTCTAAATTTATTTTTAAAAATAAATAATATATTCTGTATTTATTTCAATAAATATTTAATATATATATATATATATATTATTTTTTGATAAAACGTTTTTTGCAAGATACATAGTTAAATAATATATATATATATTTATATTTATATTTATATATATATATATTTATATATTTGGATAAAACTGTTTTGATAGATATATAAGTGAAGCCAAATATTTAACATAAATTATGTTAGGTCAAGTGGCTCATGAGCCACTTGCATGGCTTATCCATGCGGTTCGAACCCTCTCCTCCACTATTTTTTGTAATTATGCCACATATTCCACGTGGCTTACAACTCAGCAAAAAAAAAAAAATTAAAATTCCACGTAGACTACCCGGTAAAAGTGACCTGCATTTGCCGGTGGCAGGACCATTTCTCACAATTTTTGGCACTTACAGGATGTTTTCTAAAAGTAGGTCACTTACGGGACTAAACCTCAAATAGGTACCAATTAAAGGACTAAATCTCTAATTTTTCCTATTTTAGTCATTATACAATAAATCACAATTAATAATGGTACCACTCCAATTACTTTAATCTATTGTATATTGTTTGTCCCATTTTTGTTGCGTTTTTTCTTATTATTTTTCCTTTCTTTTTCCCCATATTTGGTCTTTTAGTTAGCTTTTAGTCTATTTTATCGTTTATTGTGCTTTTCTCCGTTTCGGTCCTTTTTGTGTTTTCCGTATATTTTTCCGATTTTTCCTTGCTTATGGTGTGCAGGTCGAATGTTTCTGGAGAATTTATTTTCAATGATAAATGGTACGGGTGAGTTTAATTAATTAGAAGGGAAGCATTGGCGTCGTACTGGAGAAAACCGAATCAAATAACGAGCCCAATCAAACCCAAGATGTGAAGTCATGCACTCCGGCCATCAGCTCACGCCTTAGACCTTCGCACCATGTGTCGCGCTGTGAGCCTGCCACGACCTCGACAGAGGGGCCAGACCTTCCTCCGCGCCGCGAAACCCGTCGCGCCGTGACATCTCACTTCCAGCACGCCGCGAACCTTCTCGTGTCACCTATCACGACCGTTCAGAGACCTTATTCCCAGCATCACGCCGTGAAGATCCAGCACGCCGCGGCAGGTGGTCTCTCGCGCCGCGGCTCATCGCGCGACATGCTTCACGTGCAGATCAAAGCACCAGACCTCACCGCGCCGTGAAGACCCCACCTCCTCGCGCCACGGCGGTGCCGCGAGTTGGGCAGATGAGCGCTCCCAGACCTTAACGCCGTGCCGCCCATCACTCCGCGCCACCTGCTGCCATACCGCGCCGCGACCTGCTTCACGCCGCGAAGGAGCACTTCTGTCACGCCGTTACCTGCATCACGCCGCGATGGAGCATCCTACCACGCTGCGGAGACCTTTATGCCACGCCGCGTCGCGATTATTTTACGCTGAGACCCGTTTTAATATAAATATGAGATCGGGAATTAGTCGAGGGGGGATTATGCTCACGAACTCTCGACCGGGTGTAAACCCTAGGTCCGAGAAAACACAAAAACTCCTCTCTTTCACCCTTCTTCTTCCTTTTCGTTTCTTCTTCTTTTTATAGTCTTTTTCTTCCATTTTTCTTTCTCTTTTTCATAGTATTTAGGAATCAAGCTTGTAATTCAATTCAACACTTGAATTTGGGATGATTTGTAAGTTTTTCTCTCTTTTATTAATTCATGAATAATGGTTGATTGATTTGAGAAGAATGATTATGTGTGTTGAACTCGATTTATCCCCATATTCAAGCCAATAAAATGCAACTCAAATTTCCACCATATTCAAAAATGCCACCAAATCCCCCATTCATCACACGAATCAATCAATAGGTTGACAAGAAAAGGTTTAAAGCTCAAAGGGCTACTAGTGGAATAAATTTTAAGACCAAAGAACAATGAATTTGTTGAGAACAATGGAAATTTCCCCGGCAACAGCGCGACAAATTTTGTTGTGTACAAATTATTCTTTTTACTGAGTATCGAATCGAAAGATTTGTTCCCCAGGTCGATCTCACGAGGAAGGCGGTTCAGGATTTAGTTCTGATATCGATAACACATAAGAGCAAAGAAAATCCTAAACATACTAATCAAATAAGGATGATGGATTTATGAGCTAAGAAATAATATAAAAATAATAATCTACCCAAGAAATACGAACGAAACAATTAAAAAGAAGCTAGGGAGTCGGGGGTAATTAATTCAAGTTCTAACAAAACCAGGCAATCACTTGTTCGGTCCGAGATTAACACTCTCGCCTAGACATCTAGCGGTTCACTCCCAATAACTCTTCGTAACACGGGATTGAACATAGACGTACAAGTTCGAGCATACAATACGGGCCAACTATCCCAACCCCACTAACTTTTCGTAACAAGGGACAGGTCATCGACTCGCACGTA